TCCGTCCTCCCGTCCCCAGTCCCGCATCCCCCGTCCCCTGTCCTGTGGCCCCCACCACACCTCGGACGCTTGGGTCTTTGCCCAGTGAGACGACTCACATTTTCACTCCAAAGTAGCCGGAGCCTGTGGTCTTGCCTCTGCTGGTCACAGGATTTGTCCTGAAAGTGCCGAGAAGCACCCAGAGGAGCCCCGGGCCCCCTTCCCCTGCTGCCGTTAGCACCCGTGACACCCCCGGTCCTGTCACGTCGCTGGCCGGAGGAGCCCGACAGCTGGTGGCCATCTGAACTTGCAGCGCGGAGGCTCCGCGGTGTCCCGAGTAGGAGTGTCTCATCCAGCGGAACGGAGACCCTCAAGATGGACAAGCCCAGAGCTGCAGAGAAGAGAACAGAAGCATGTGGCTGGTTCTTGGGCCAAGATTCAGGGCAGCGACGGGTTACCCCTCGCTCACCTGTCCTGGGGCAGCTCCAGCCGCCTGTCCCCGCGCGTCCCCGTCTGCCAGCGCAGCCTCTCTCCCGGGTCCCGCCAGACGGACGCACAGGAAAGAGAAGAGCCCGACGCTTCTGCATGGAAATAAAACCCTACCCTGCTCACATCTCCCCGGCCAGCGCGCAGCACGTGGCACCCGAGTCCCACAGGCTAGGGCATCCCACAGACGCAGAATCACACAGGCCACACCCCGCGGTCACCGGCCGTGAGGGTGAGAAGAGCGTTCCCACGGGCCCCCGGGTGTCGCGGACGTGCGTTGCGCGCGACCAGCTCGAAGCACAGCCTGCAAGCCACAGGGGCACCCCATCAGGACGGACCCCGGTCTCTGAGGCGTCAGAAGTCGTTTCTCCTCCCGTCAGGCCGGCCGCTTCTGGTGGGGGCTTGATCAGAGCTGCCAGGCTTCCCTTGCAGTAAGATAAATCCCTTCTTGACGTAACATGAGGTGGGCGGCGGGGGGTCAGCCGCCAGTGAAGTCCGCAGGCCGTGCTGCCAGAGCCACGGGGGCGGGAAGGAAGTCCACCCCCGGCACAAGTGCATCAGGATGACGCCAAGCATTTCCCCTCGAGGACGGGGGTCCGGTGCGAGCAAGCTGACGCCCAGAGAAGGGGCCACGCTGGGAGCTAAGTCGTGGGCCCGTGTCTGACAAGGCGGGGTCCGGCCCGGCCACACGAGCCGGGGCTGCTCTGGTCACTCAGCTCCGGGTGGGCATCCATGCTTCACCCAGCCCCTCCATCCCCTGCCATGCTGTATTCGCTGGGTCGGCTGGGAAGAGAGGCAGGCCCATAGCCACCAGCCTCATCCCGCCCTGGACAGGGGCACCTGAGATACACACTACAGAGGAAACACCACGAGCCCATCATGTAGCAATGTGTGGGCCCAATGGAGCACAGAGTGGGAAGAAAGCTGACCGAAAGAAACACCAAGGGTCCTATCACAGGTGACGGGAGGCCCAGGGAAGGGGAGGTTAGGACAGAAAAAACTATTGGACAGAATAACGGCCG